AAACTCCTAAAGGGCAGAGCCCATTTTGTGTGCTTCATTTGAGAGTCCCACTGTGGACAGTCAATATTAAACAACGATAGAAGGACTAACAGCATGGGTTCAATTTTAGCAATTAAAATACTGGGAATATGCCTGAGGAACCTAATAAAGGTGCTGAAAGGCTGGATGGAGTAAACATAGATTTTTAGGAGGTTTTTTTTTTTTTTTAATTTTTATTTATTTGACAGACAGAGATCACAAGTAGGCAGAAAGGCAGGCAAAGAGAGAAAGGAGGAAGCAGGCTCCCGGCTGAGCAGAGAGCCCGATGCGGGTCTCGATCCCAGGACCCTGGGATCATGACCTGAGCCGAAGGCAGAGGCTTTAAACCCGTTGAGCCCAGGTGCCCCAGATTTTTAGGAGTTAAAACAAAACAAAACAAAACTTCGAAGTCATCCAGTCCAACTCTAATTTTATGATACCTGAGAAATTAAAATAATCTGCACAATTATCTGACATTAGCTGACAACAGACCCTCTCCTGTTTCCCAGTGTTATTTATCTTTGTCATATGGCATGGTAAGAGGATGGTTTCAGGAACATCACTTTACACAAACTGAAGTTGCACTGGTTGGCTGTGGGGTCATCATTGATAATGAATTGTCTCTCGGATTTAACTTTTACTTATCCTACTGACCAACTGACCTCTTAAGAAATCTCCACTGCTGGCTTTCAAGTTTAACCAGGTTGGTGTTTTTCAATAAGTGTCTCACTAATTTTGGTCTCTTGAACTCCTCTCAAGGCATCCCTCCCCCTCGTCTGCTGGCCATCCAAGCTCTCTCCACTATTCTCTTTATAATTCACCTTCTCCAGGAAGGCTTCTCTGCTTCCTTGTCTTCCCATCAATGTGTATCTTGCTTTGATTTGCACAGTGCTCAATTCTCCCCTTCCTGCTAGAAAAGATTCATGGATTGCCTGGCTGTTTCTTAGACCCCCAAAGGACAAGATAAATGGTTTCTACTCATTTTTCACTCACTTTTATTTATTTTTTTTTGGGGGGGGGATGCCTAGCACAACACTGTGCTCCAATAAGCACCAAATATTTGTTAAAGGAACAGACCATGTTAATGAGCTTCACTACAAAAGGGGGATTATTGGTAGAAAATGAAATAAAAATCACTTTTATCTGCTAGTTTATTCTGAATTCTCAAAGACTAACGGGTCACAGGCACACGAGTTTGATAAGTCTATGGAAAAACTAGTTGTGGTTGATACTCTATCAAAATCTTGGCCCAGTAGTTCTCAACCCTGATTGCTCACTCAAATCAGCTTGGAAGCATTTATAGCTATCAAGACCTCACCACAGATCAACTGAATCAGAATCTTTGCAGCTGTGCCCAAGCAATGATTTGCAATACATTGGTATTTGATTGGCACATACTGATTCCTACAACCTCACCCTGATTAACAGATTTTTCTAAAGACTGAGCATGATCAAATATGGTTTTGTTGTTCTTGGAATCATGGAGTTTTGGAACTAAGAACTAAGATACTATCTGGACCCACCCCTTTATTTTATAGCTGAAGATTCTATGACTTAAGAGAGATTGAGCAAATAGCCTGACACAGTGGCAAGGAGATTCCTGTGTGACAGGTCATGTCCTGAATTAGTGGAATTCTCTGGTTCAGGGGCTGTAGCAAGTAGAGCAAACTGTTTTTTTCTTAAATTTCTGATTTCTTCTATAGAAAATGTATAAAGTGTGTGTGTGTGTGTGTGTGTGTGTGCACACGTGCTCACCCACGCACATACAAGATTTGGATTTTAAAAGCTGTTAGCACCAGGTACTCCTTAAAGACCAATCTGGCACATTCCATCGAGTCCATTGTCACAGCAGAGGAAATGCCACAAGGGGATATATCAAAGTCTAAAAGAAATGACTAGTATGTATTTGCGGGTTTTTTTCACTGGCCCCGGTCCATAACATTTTATGCTATCAGAGCCCAGTGCACTTCTAACCCTTAACTATACCACTTATTAGTAGACTTATTGCTTGTGAGCAAGCTAATCAACACCCTGAACTTCCCTTTTCTCTATAAAAAGGAAGATAGTGCCTGTCCTATTGACCTTGCATTTTTCAGCCATTAGGAGAATTAAATCAGATGATCTATTTGGAGATATCTGAGAAGAGTAAAGCACTATGTGAATATATGTATAGAATATACATATGAATAGAATAAATATATGTATAAAATCATTATATTACTATCTTTCAGAGCAATGACTTGTGAATACTTATGTAATTTTTTGATTATCTGGGCTCTAAATCCTAATTCTTCAGTACCATGCCACCCAAGAATCAACAGGAACTGGAGCTATGCTGGACTAGAAGCTCTAGTCACTGAAAGTATCACATAACTAAATATTCAGGGAGGTAAAGTGATGTAGTGACCAGGATTTAGCTAGTCTAGGCTCTAGTCCCAGAGTCTGCTTTTAACTATTGACTTTGGACAAGTCACTTAATGTTTCTGGGACCAGAGTCTCGTCAGTGGTCAAAGGATGACTTGAATTAGAGTCAAAGATCCTTTTGATTTATAAAATCAGAATATTAGTGCTTAATTAAAATTACTAAAGTGCAATTTCCCAAGTTGTTAATTGATGTGGTTTTACATTTTTTTAAAATCTCTTTTTAGAAGTACAGGGTTGGAGGCTAAAAACATAAGCCTATTTCTGGTAAACAGACATTTTGAATCCATGTCTAAGACCCTCTTTAAAAGAAACATCTCAGGGCACCTGGGTGGCTCAGGTCATGATCTTGGGGTCCTGGGATAGAGCCCCACATCAGGCTCCCTGCTCAGTAGGGAGCCTGCTTCTCCCTCTCTCTCTCTGCCCCTCCCCACAGCCCAGCTCATGCTCTCTCCTGTTCTCTCTCTCAAATGAAGTCTTTTTAAAAATTCTATAAAAGAAATATCTCAACTCAGATTCTTCATGCTTGTTAGTATCCTGTCCTGGTGCCCTTGTTCCAAAAATAAATCTATGGTTACCCAAAAGGCATGTAATATACTACTAGACACAGAGTAGGCACCAAATACTGTTACCTTAAAGCTCTCAGTTTGAGTCCTAGCTCTTGTTACCTAGCTCATCTGAGCCTGTTTTCTTATCTATAAATGGGAACAGTACCTTCCTCAACGATCCATTGAGACAGTGTATATTAAAATGTTTTGTACACTGTAAAAACAATTGCAAGATATTACTATTATCTAAGGAACGTAGCTTATTATTACCGCAACACCTCTAAGAACTGTACTTTCTTCCTTTTTTTTTTTTTTAAGATTTTATTCATTTGACAGAGATCACAAGTAGGCAGAGAGGCAGGCAGAGACCGAGAGAGGGGGAAGCAGGCTCCCTGCTGAGCGGAGAGACCGATGCAGGGCTCAATCCCAGGACCCTGGGATCATGACCTGAGTCGAAGGCAGAGGCTTTAACCCACTGAGCCACTCAGGCACCCCAGAAACTGTACTTTTGATTTCAAGAGATAGATTAAAATCTTTCTGAATTAGTTTATTATGGGCACAGCATGTACTCCAGGGCCTGGCTCAACAAATATGCTCAATAAATGTCTGCCGCATGAAAAGTATAATCCACAGAAAGACCAAAAGCTCCATGAGCTTAGATTCCATATTCCTTTTTATCACCAAATTCCCAGAGCTAGCACAGCATCTGACACATAGAAGTAGAATAATTATGAGATGAACAGATTTTTGTCCCCTCTAGTTCCTCTTCCGCACAGCTCAGGAGGTCGATATGGGCAGAAGAGGCATTAAAGAGGATTTTTGGTGAAGGCTGCTTGGAATGGAAGTGAGAATTACTCGGGAAATTCACCCATTCTCTAACAAATAGCTTGGGAGAGCAAAAAGAGCATAGATTCGGAGTTCAGGTTGTTTCCGAATTGTCCAGTCTTGGTAAATTACTCTATTAACCTCCCCAAGATTGTTTCTTCATCTTAAAGTGAGAATAAAAAGAGAACAGTACCTCCCTCAAAGGGTTTTAAGCACTAGCATGGAAGCCCCGTAAGAGCAGGGGCGTTATTTGGGGCCCACTGTACCTACACTGAGCAGTACTGAACTTTATTGAAGAGTGCCGGGCACAACACAGGTTCTCAAGTACTTGTTGACTTTGTGAGACACCGACTGAGAGGACACAGGTGAAGTATGTAACAGGAAAATGGCACATAGTAAAAACATTTAGCAAACCTGAGCCTCTTTCACCTTCACTTTTCGCATCGCCCCTATCATCACTAAGACATCAGTATTATTACAGGACTGGAGGGTGTAGAGCAGCTGTCTTTGGGGGGAAGAGCCGGATTTAAATCTCTCATTCCCATTTACCAGCTATGTGACTTAGGACAAATTACAAATTTGTCCTAACCTATCGGGGTTCCCTTGCTTCCGCAAAAATCTGCGTGTCGCGAGAATCAGAAGCTGCATGGCGACCACCTATCACTGAGTCTGGAGCCCCCGCGGCACGCGATACGTGGCAGCGACTATTACTAAGGGGAAAAAGAAAAAAAAAAGACCTTTTATCCAGTTAAGTGCCTGCAATTTCCCACATTACTGCTGCTGAATACATAACATGACCGCAAACAAGGGGAGGAAGGAAAGAATTTCGTAGAGACCGAAACCGCTAAACGAGAAAAAGAGGGAATTAATCCGGTGCTCGGCAGTTCCCACCAAGGGGTGCCAGTTTCCGCGACTGTCAACCTGCCCGACCAGCCAAGGCTAGAGCAGGACAGTCAGCTCAGATAGGAACAAAAAGGAGGCTGAGCCGACGCTTACACCCTCCCCCTAACGGTCTCCTCGCCGCCGGCCTCGAGCGGCCCCGGGACTCCCGTTTCCGGCCCTGGCCGGACCACAGCTCCCAGCATGCCTTTGGGGGGAAGTCTTTCCCTCTGGATGACTACTAATCCCGGCATGCCATTCGGCAAACCAGTAAGTTAGTTGGGAGAGGGGAATGCCCCCAACGAACGCAGGGAATTGTAGTCCATGTAGGTGCTGGCTCTTAGAGGGGAGGAGAAGAGCCGGGTCGTTCTCGTCAGCTGAGGAGAATGATTCATAGAGGAGGGTCAGGAGAGAAAAACAGTTCTGTCTGCAAGCGCCCACTTAAAAGGCTGGACTCTTCTCCGAGGGAGGGAGAGGCAGGAGAGTAAGCCAGGCCTCGGGACTGACCCCGCCTCAGGCCGCTCGTCAGGCCTCTATCGAGCCCTGGGCCTTGACGGGGGCGGCCGCGAGGCGCCGGTTGCTGGGGGACCGTGACGTCGCGGGGTGAAAGTTGAGGGGCGGTGACGTCGGCCCAGCCCGGGCGGAGGCTGGCGGGTTGGAGGCAGGAGGGAGGGAGGGAAGGAGGGAAGGAAGGAAGCTGGGAACGAGCGAGCGAGCGGGGGCGCGAGGCGTTTACCTGGAGGCAGCGGCTTGGGCGCGCAGAGCGGCCGCGGCTCCCCCGCACCTGCGGCCATGGATGAGGAGCGCGCCCTCTACATCGTCCGGGCCGGCGAGGCGGGGGCTATCGAGCGGGTCCTGAGGGATTACAGCGATAAGGTAAAGAGCCCTGGACCCGGGCGTGCGGTAGAGCACCCCCGGGCCGCCCTCGGGGCTTGCACCTCGCATCCCTCCCAACCCCCTTCATTCCGGGGATGCGCGTTACTCTCCCCCGAAAACGTTTCCGGCTTGGGCATGCGTGTTTGTGCCCCCAGCCTTCCCCGTCCGGGCATCCTGCATCCCCCTGCCCCCACTCTGGCGCCCACTCCTCTGATTCCGGCCCAGCGGGCTGTCCTGTGGTCCTCCTCCCAAGCGTGCAAGTCACACCCCCGGAATCCGTAGATGTGCGTCTGTGCCCTGTGCCCCACTCTGGGATGCCTAAATGCACGCGAGGCTTCCTCACCTGTATAGCATGAAAATCCGTGTTTCCGTGCTTAAACACGGCCCTTGATAGGCATAAAACCTATCAGCCACGATGGCAATTATTTGTATGCCTACAGCCCCGCACACTTTCAAGGCTTGATGTCTCCTGTATGGTCAAACTTGATTCTCAGGGTGTTTATAGGGTAGACGGTACCATCCTTCCCATTTTATAGATGAGAAAACCGAGGCGTTAAGAACTGAAATCATGCCAAGGTCATGGACGTACTATGTTGTAAATTGGGGGTAGATTCTGACTCCGAATAATACCTATTACATGTATCGGATTAACAGCTTTTCCCATCCATCATCTCGTTTAATCTCAACAGCAGTCCTGTGAGGTTTTATCTTCATTTTGCAATTGAGATTGTTTCTGTTAAGTAACTTGCCCAAGGTCATCCTTGTGAGCTGGGATTCCAACCTAGGTCTTCAAACCATTAATTGTTCTTTCCACTTTACAACTGTGCAGTAAAAAGGTATCTTGTTATAAATCCCAGTCACTTCTCTGAATGTTTCTCCAAGAACCGTTAGCTCTCCATTACTTCTCCTTCCAGGAGTTTTACATGCGCACTTCAAAAGGTAGCATATCACACCTTTATTCTTCGTTTAGGAGATGACTTTATAGGAATTGACTGACTACTCACTTCTGTGAAAACAGCCAACACCAAGTCTCACCTTAGATACAGCATCTTCCTTTCACTTGCTCCCACTCGTAGTTTCCCCTTCTGTGTTTGCTGTGTGCCCACCACTGCACTTTATTGTACTTTGTATGATTGAGCTGCCATTGTGCCGTTTCTGCCCTGGGTGGAGAAGATCCAAAGATAAGACACCTTCATTTCCATTTCATCTTCCCAAAAACCCTGTGAGGAAAGTGGTGGTATTCCCCATTTCCCAAATGACATTTAGGATAATGTTGCCCTAAGTCCACACAGTCACTTAGAGATGGGGCTGGGATTTGAATATAGGTTGTCTGACAGCTCTTTCTACACTACTATGTTGCTTTCTCTGGGAGGATGTATGGCTTGATTAAATTCTGTTTGTATCTTGCTCTTCCACTCTCTGATACGCTTTACTATTGCGTATCTGCCTAATTTAGGAGAAATTCATTTAAGGCATAGGTGTACATATTGTGGAGATTATATTCATTTAACCTGACTTGTAACTCCTTTCCAAAAAGAAATTGAGGCAGCTACCAGCTGATTTTCAAAAGAAAGAGTGTTGAATCAATGAGTATTTATTTTGCAATTACTATATGCCAGATATCCAGCAATAAATAGGAACTTTCTTCTTTAGAGAAGGGAGGAGGAAAAACCCCCAACTGGATCTTACCACTTTCTTCAATATTTCTCCTTCCCTTCATATCTAAGCTGACCAGAACTCCAGATTAGATTCCTTGAGTTTATCTCTTCCTCTCCTTGATCTCCCTCCAGGTTGGTTTCCACTTACTACTCCTGGCCAGGTGCTGTCAGAGCTTAGCTTCTGGACATCTCCAGCTCTCCTTTCACATTGGGAATGTTTTTAAAGTTATAGTGCCCAGTGTATATTATTTAAGGCGGTATTCCTGAAGTACTCTTTGAGCCATGCCTGAGAATGCTCTGATTTGACACGAGCCCTGTCAGTCAGCTCCTTCAGAAAAGAGCTCTCATGTTTAATGCTGATTATAGTAGGGCTAGCGTACAAAGAAAATAGCTAAGGTTCATATTGGCAATGGGGCTTTGCCCCTCAAGGCAAGGGAGACCTTGGAGGCAGATGAATAGGAAGGGGAAGTATGACTGTGGTGGTCTGGCGATAAAAATGGGGAGGTGAAATTAAACTACCCAGCTCTATGGGATATGGAGTCTAAAACCCTTAAAAAGGAGCTGAATACTGTGTGCTTCATTTTCCTCATCTGGAAAAATAGATTTGAGAAATGTTTAGGGACATTGAGGAGTCTAACCAGCAATGGAAATGAACGATGTACAGGGAAAGTGACAGGTTTGTTATTTGGAGGACGACGTTCTTTATGCTACCTTATTTCTCTAATAAAGCTAGAACTTGGGACAGTTGTAGAAACACAGTGTACACATTTGAGTAGGGTATGTAAATAGCCTGGACCATGTAAGAGGACTTTTTGCTTTCCAGTTTGAGGTTGAGTTCCAACTCTCTGAGTTCATTCCACAGATTTTTGCAGAGGAGCATGTTTAATGGGCTGTTCCCGCCAGATAGTGGAAAGAAGGTAGAATTTAGAGTCAGATAAATTTTGGTTCAAATCTGCCTTTTATTGGCTTCATGACTATGGATGTTATTTTAAGCCTGAGTCTTGGCTTACTAATCTGTAAAATAGGGATACTATTACCTAAGTTATCATATGGCTTAAATTAACTGAAGTTTAATGCTGTACACTGAACACAGTGCACCTAGGAGGCGCTTACTCAGTGAGTTATAGTTCTAGTGATCAAGGTACTCAGGACATCCTGTGGCCATAGCACAGGCTCTGGGGCCAGACTGCCTGGACTCTGATTTTCAACTCACCCATCTATGTGGCCTAGGACAAGTTACATAACTTTGTTGTGGCTCAGTTTCCTCACCTGTCAAACAGGGACAATAATAGTACCTACAGCATAGGTTTGTTGTCAGGATTAAGTGAGTTATATGTCTAAAGCACTTAAAACAGTACCTGGCAGTGAGGAAGGCAGGAGTTAAACCTGTAGTACTGAGTTGATGTAGCCTGATTTAACAAAAAATTAGGGGAGTATACTCCAGCCTTTCTTTTTCCTTGACCCTTATATTTTCTAATGGGTAACAAAATACCTTGTACCTTGTTTAGAGCATAGTTACCTATCTGGCTCCAGGTAACAACATCTAATTCTACTGTATTACTGAGACTCTAATTTTCAAGCCTTCTTCCTTCATTCCCTGACCCTTGTTATTCTGGGGAGAGGGAAGTTCCATCTATCCCAGAAAAAAATGAAACTTGTCTGTTTTTCAGGGGCATAATGCAAGTTGACCTAGCATAGGAAAATATTAAAAAACAAATAGAGAGAATGGTTACTCTTTTTCATTTGTCTCAATTCACCTGTTAACCTTCATTGAGTGCTTGCTATGTTCTATGTACTATCTATCCCAAGCATTTTCACACGTCATCACATATAATTCTCTTACATTATTACTTATGAGAAAGATAGAAGTATTCTCTTTCACAGGGAATAGGAAATTGAGATTCAGAAAGACAAGTGACTACCTATGGGCTCAAGGGCGTATAGCTAGAAGTGGCAGATTCCATATCCATATTCTTTAGATTCCATATCCAGGACTCTTTGTGCAAGGTCATGTTGCCTTTACCCTGTCTGTTCTGTGTTTTTGAGCACAGAAGAGAAAAATGTTTTCAGGACCAATACAGTACTTCCTTTGGTTACCGTTGGGTCCTAATCACCTCCACTCCAGTTATAGAGTGAGCTATTAATTATGGGACATATGGATTGGTCTAGTGTAGGCTGTCCAGGCTCCTCCTCCTTCAAGTCCTGTTCTGATAACAGATTTACTAGAGGGGGGCCTGGGTGGCTCAGTCAGTTAAGCATCTGCCTTCAGCTCAGGTCATGATCCCAGACTCCTGTGATCAAGTCCCACATCAGGCTTCTTGTTCAGTGGGGAGTTTGCTTCTCCCTCTGCCCCCGCCTCTTCTCCCCACACGCCCCCCACTCGTGTGCGCTCTCTCTCTCTGTGTCAAAATAATTTAAAAATCTTTAAAACAAAACAGATATAGTAGAGAGATTACCACCTTTATGGTGTTGTTAGGATTATCAGAACAGTGATCAACGGCCCCGAGATATACAGTATTATCTTAGCTTCTTGAATCAGAGGATATTTAGACTAGAAGGAAATCTCAAAGGTAATTGGATCTGTCCCCTTTAGTTAATAAGTGAAGAGACTGAGCCTAGAGTCGTCAACTATGATGACAGAGAGATGGCTTGGTAGCCGTAGAGACTACCTGGATTTATGATTATCCCATAGCAATCTCCAGCAGGATTCCATTTTGGAAATATGACAAATTTATGACCAAATTAAAGATAACAGTTATATAAGATATGGGGAAGTAGGTAGGTCTCCAAGAGTACTCCTCATAAGAAAAGAAAATGATACTGATCGCAGCAAGCTCTTCATTTATGTGCTAGAAGAACCTAATGGATAGGGACCTAATATTGAGCCAGTTCTAGAAATACAGGCCACACATTTGAATAGGGTATGTAAATATCCTGGTCCATGTCAGAGGACTTTTTGCTTTCCAGTTTGAGGTTGAGTTCTGACTCTTTGAGCTCATTCCACAGATTTTTTGCAGAGGAGCATGTTTAGTGAGCTGTTCTTTGTTATACCTTGTTCTTGTTTCCAGACTGAATTATACAATCTCAGTTACTGGCGTTTAGTTCTAGGAATAATCTCTATTCGTGAAATACAGCACCACACACACACACACACACACACACACCCAGTAGGCTAATTCCCTTGTATCAGTACTGTTTGAGTATATCTTCTAAAATATGAAATGACTCCTAGTTCTCTAGTAGGTCAGTATTTGGCTAGATGCCACATCATAGGCCATGCTATAATAACAATAGTGGCCACGTATTGAACACCTGCAATGTGCAAGGTGCCATACATAAAAGATAAGGAAACTCTGACAGGTAGTAAAGTTGGATAACTTGACCAAGGTCACACTTTTAGTAAACAACAGGACTGTACTCAAACCCAGTGCCGTCTGACTCCTAAACCTGAGCTTTTTAGAGCCTACTCATGGGATATAAAACCTACAGGGAGGAGTCCTCTTAAAAGTCTGGTCTATCACGGAGCTGTTCCTAGTTTACTTGGTCTCTAAATTGAACAATGGTTTTACTCTTTAGTGTATATTTGACTTGTTGCTCCTGTTCATCTGGATATTAAGCATATAAAGAACGTGAGGTAGCTGGCTGTTGGCTGGCAGTTCCATAAAGGTATTTACAGCCAGAAATGCTAGTTCCCCTTCCCTTCCCTTTCAGCCTTTGAAAAGGTATAGAATAAGGGCTAGAAGTACTAAACAGATTAGGTACAATCTAAGTTGTATAAAAGAAACCAGCCCTAGAGAAGCCAACATCTTTGAATCCAAATAATTATAGAGGGCTGAGCTTCTGCTTAGATTGGCACATTCAAAATTCAATTTGTATTGCCTCACATGCGAGTATATTTTCTAATTAAATTAAGCCCTCATGCTAGTTAGGGCTTTTGAAAGCTTTTCTTTCTTTCTTTCTTTGTTAATGTTGTGGTTTTATGACCGGATCAGCCTTGCATTTAAAAGCAACAGGAAATTTAGTCCTTGGTACTATTCTAAATTATCACCTTAAAAGATAAATTCTATGTAGAAATTGTCTGAAAGATATTTTTATAACTTAATGAGGGTCTTTCCAAAAGATGATTTCGTTCTCTGTTCCTTTACCACAAATGCCAGAAAAAGTTGAGGAGAACAATTATATTGGCAACCAGGTTCATTTATCCCAGATAATTTATGAATTTAATATTTCACATATAATGGAAAAAAATCAGCTTTCTTGGTCTCTGAGTGCAATTTATTATCACATGTATTGAACTTTTATTATGCTTCAGTTTAAAACCTTAGCCTGATGTCTGCTGCTTCTTTATCTAAAGTTAGTTTTTATTAAACCTTGCCTATAAGTTCCTGAGTTACACACTTCAGAGTTACAACTTGTTCTTCCTTTCTCTCCTTTCTTTCTTTCCTTGTTCATTCATTCATTTATCTTTCATTTTTTAAATTTCCCTTTTAATTATGAAAATAATGTACCAACAATGGATTTTGTCAAACCTCACCAGAAATCCTACCACCGCTATACAGTTGCTTTTATTTTTGCATTTTAACACTCAAGCCTTTGTTCAAATGCATCCGTGTACTTAAACAGGTACTGTCACCATAGACATCTAGCTTGGTGTTTTACTCTTTTTCCACTTGATGCCATTATAAGTAATCTTCCATGTTGTTAAGATATTTTTAGCCATCTTTTGTTTTAATTGCAATGTAATATTTTATCAGTGGATGCACAGCAGTTTATTTCCTCAGTCTCCTGTTGTTGGATATTGACTGTCTCTTTCTTCCATAATATTAGATAACACTGCAACAAATATGATTATGTATATAATTTTTCTCTCCTTCTGGATGACTTCATTAGGATAAATTCCTAGGAGTAGAAGTTCTGGGTTAAAGGATGTGAATATTTTTATGTTTTCTAGTATATGCTGCCAAATTACTTTCACTTTTAGAGTTTATGTCAGCTTATACTGCTGCCAGCAATAGCACACCTTGATTATTGATGCCCATTTCTTAGAAGGCTTTACGTCCTCAGTCTTGGTCTCCTTTGATCTGGCCTATAAGCAGCTGCCCAAAATATTCTTCCAGAATGCTCTACTGTTCATACCTCCCTCAGAATCTTCCTTTAGTTGCCTGTCACCTATCTGCCAGATCAGGTATAAATTTTTAAATTCAAGCCCTTCTTACCACCTGACATCATCCATTTTAATTGTTTCGCAAACCGTATGTGAGGCAGCCTCTTTCCAGTTTCTTCAAACAGCTTTGTCTCTTACCTCTAAGTCTTCCCCCTGACCATTTCTTCAGAACTGCTTCTCAGTCAACATTCTCCATCTCATTTAATTTCAAAAATTTCAAAAACTGACAAGATAGAACCACCTGTAATGAAGATGTCTTTAGTACTTTGTGTACTTAACTCCTGATGAGTTGCCAATAGATGTCATTGTGGCCAATGAGAAAAATACAAAAGAAAGGCAGAGATGTTCAGTGGATATTTTTTTAAAGGAAAACTTAGGATTCATAAGAGCACTTGATTCTCCTGAATAAAACCTGAGAAAGGGAATGAGAAGCTTTGTGCTCTATTTTGGGTAATATCACCGTTTCTGTTGACAGTGGGCAAGTAACTTACTCCATCCTCTTTTTCAGCTACAGAAAGGAAAACAGTGTTAACAATCATTTGGATTGGAAATTTAGAGTCCTGGCACTCTATTCTTTTCCAGTTATTTTTTTGTCAATATCATTGGCATCATCATCATTATAATCCTAATATTTACTGAGTGTTTACTCAGCACCAGGCACTGAGATGTATGTTATACGCCTTAGCTATTTTAACCCTCACAGCAGCTCTGTGAACTAGGTGTTCCCTCTTTTCACGAGAGAAATACAGTAATAGAGATTTTATTATCTGCTCAACTAGTTAGTGGTGGAGCCATAATTTAAACCTTAATTCTTAGGGAATTACTTTTCTGAAATACCAGGCTATTAAATCTCTTTCCTGTCTACAATTCTCTGATCATTTCTAAGTGCGTATGAAAAAGAAAGCAACATTGGGTCTTAGCAACACTGAAGACCCTTCCAAATTTCTGTCCATTTTATTTTTCCATTCTCTTTCTCCACTTTCCCATCCCCTCACATGTGTCCTATATTTCATTCTGACAGACCTGTTTATTTCACAAATATATCATAGCATTTCACACATCGGAGCCTTTGTTTCTGTCCTTACAGTGCTTTCCATTTACCTTCTGGCAAACTCCTATTCATCCCCTATGATCCAGTTCAAATGCTCTATACTCTGTGCAAAGCATTCCAGATTTCCTCAGGCAAAGTTAGTGGCTTGGTACTCTGTTCTTTTTCTCTGTTTTTCTGCTGTAGGCTTTCATACTGCTTTGTAATTATTTACTTACATGCCTATCTTTCTTCCTTTAATATGATTGTTGAAATACAATGTGGGAAGGCAACATTTCTACAGACATGTTTTTAAATATAACCAAAATTAAAAATCTGTATATTTAAAATGACATTGTTTCCCCTTTTTTCCCCCCTCAGCATAGGGCTACTTTCAAATTTGAATCAACAGATGAAGATAAAAGAAAGGTAAGCTTTGGTGTTTGTGTGTGTGTGTATTTCATTCATGGACTCTAAACAGTGAACTTGTTTTCATCTGGTTATTATTTAGTTTTTGGTTTCCCTTCAGTTTGTTTTTAGGAACTCTGAGAAGACGACAGTACCAGGGGTAGTATGGATTACACCCAACTTTCTCTGTTTCATCCTCACAGGACCATTATACTTGCATAAATCAGGGAAATGGGAAGAGTTTAGAGGGGACTCTCCCCATATCTTCTCACCTCCAGAGATTGACTTTATTTGGTGGCAGAAATGTAGGCTGCCCCAAAATGCATTGCTAATATTGGGAAACGTGGCTTTGGATTAGGTTTTGGGAAAGCAGTTGTTTGTGGTGCTGCCCCTCAACCACCCATTGTTCCCTGGACTGGTAGTTATTTATATTGTCAGCGATTGTCTTGGTCACTGACTTCACAGGCATAGAGGAAAATGGAGTCAAGAGCCTCACCAGCGGAGGAGTTATAAGAAAGGGTGGATCGGAGGGGTGCCTGGGTGGCTGTCAGTTAGACTCTTGATTTGGGCTCAGGGCGTGATCTCAGGGTCATGAGATCAAGCCCTGCGTCAATTTCCACACTGGGCACATAATGCCTACTTAAGTTTCTCTCTCCCCCTCTCCCTCTTTCTAAAAACAATAAAAAATAAAAATAAAAATAAAGAAAGGGTGCATAAGAGATAAGACCATGTAATGTTATGTTTACCTGTTGGGGCTGCCTGTGGTTGCTTTACTTAGCTGATTAGGGCATGATGCTAAAGGAAGAGCTCACCTCCTCAGATTCCCCTGAGCATTTTGCTGGGCCTCCTACATCTATCCCTGGCCATATAAATATCAAGACCAAGTGAGAGAATATGACTGAACCAGTGTAAACCTATCACTGCTGCTGAAAAAATAGCTTAAATCCAGGGCTCTGCTGGGAATGGTTTGATAATATGTTGAAATCATCCCTTTATTTACCTCCACCCCCATATATTTTGCTCATTCTCGCTCTTAAGACTCCTTCAGTCCATTATCTTCTTAATCCCTGACCTAATTCAAGCCTTCACCTGAGTTACTGTACTAGTTTCCTGACTGTTCTTTCTTTTTCCAGTTATGTGTCTTTTCAGTCCACTGTCCATAATTCTAAAACAACATTATGGTCTTGTCACTCCCAACTTTAAAACCCATGAGTGACTTTCTTTGCCTATAGAATAAGGTCAGGCATCTTAACATAATATAATACATGTCCAGTCATCTGCTCTCTGTCCAGTACTACTCTATTATATTTTATGCTTTAGTCATATGAAGTATTTCCAGCTACATACACATCCACATCCCTCTGTCTCTTTCTTCCTAACTTTGCATAAGTTGTTTTCTACCTAGAATGCCCTCTCCTTCTTGTATACCACTTCCTCTTTTCACTCAGCTCCAGGAACACCTTCAGGAAGCTTCCTCTGACATTCTGTCATGATGAAGTAGCCCTCTTCAGTGTTCCCATAAAATTCTATGTAAATCTCTAACATTATGATTGCACATAGTCTCTCTCTCTCTTTTTTTTTTAAGATTTTATTTATTCATTTGTCAGAGAGAGAGAAAGAGATCACAAGTAGGCAGAGAGGGAGGGAAAACAGGCTCCCTGCTGAGCAGAGCCCCATGCAGGGCTCGATCCCAAGACCCTGAGGTCATGACCTGAGCCCAAGGCAGAGGCTTAACCCACTGACCCACCCAGGTGCCCCACATTATCTCTTAATTATATATTAATGTCTCTCGTTGATAAACTCTGCACACTCCAATGATAGATATTAATATTTATATCCTCAACATCTAGAATGAGCAGCACATAATAGGTACTCAAAAAATATTTATTGAATGAGTGACATGGGGTATAAACTCTGAAGAGTGAAGATTTAAGATATAAGTTTTCTTTTGGATTTGAACAATGTAGACAAGACTAGAGTACCTTGTGGAACAGATTCTCAGCTAGGGATATGCTGGTTGGAGAGCCTTTTCAAGATAAGCCTGCCCAGAGAAAGACAATTATCATATGATCTCCCTGATATGAGGAAGTTGAGAGGCAACGTGGGGGGTTTGGGGGGTAGGAAAGGAATAAATGAAACAAGATGGGATGAGGAGGGAGACATACCATAAGAGATTCTTAATCTTGCAAAACAAACAGGGCCAGAGGGAGGGGGTCAGGGAGAGGGTGGTTGGGTTATGGACATTGGGGAAGGTATGTGCTATGGTGAGTGCTGTGAAGTGTGTAAACCTGGCAATTCACAGACCTCTACCCCTGGAGCTAATAATACATTATATGTTAATAAAAAATAAAAAGAAATAAAAATTTTTTAAAAAAGGTCTGCACAGGCCTGACCCCTTATCTACTGAGTCAGAATTTGGGGGGTGGAATCCAGGCATGTGTATTTTTGTAAATAGTCTTCAGGAAATAAGTACTTACACATTTGGTGGGAGTACTAAATGGCACAATCCCTGTGGAATAGAAACTGGCACCATCTACCAAAATTACAGATGCATTTTGCCCTTTGACCAAGCAACGTCACTTTTAGAAATCTATTCTGTGAATAGGTTCAGCCCAAATAAATATAGTTATTTATTGAAAATTGTACATAATAGCAAAAGATTAGAAACAAACAAATGTCTAGGGAGTATTTGAAGAAACTCGGGTACATCTGCATAGTGGCATACTATGACATAGTAAAGAGAGAAGGGAAGGAGGAGAAGGAGAGAAACAGGTATATGCTAAGGGGACAGAGTTAAGTGAAAAAAAGAAGGGGCAAGGTGTTTAAAAGAATAATTTTTGACACACTCATGATAGGTATTCAGGCTAGGGAGGCAATTGCTACTTTTATTTTGAGAGAATCTCAAATATATGTATATATACACACACTATATCTCTTGATTCAAGGTGCCTTGAGACTCTGATACTAGAATCTGATAGTGCTCTTACTGGTCAAAATAAGTACATTAAGACAGAGATTCCCCCCAATCCATGTAGGTTTCAGTTGAGGCAGAATAATTCCCCAGTCAGTTGTTAGTAAAGCATGAGTATTTTCTGTAGGATAGTAGCAAAATGTAACACATCGAAGTATTGTCTTTTACTGCCTGCTAGATCTTTGGAGATAGTAGCTTCTGTATCAGTGATGGTAGGTAGATTCCAGCTTCCTGGGAGGTCAGATACAAACATATGCAGTTAAGGACCTAGCTAGCTATCTTATTAATGGAAAAACATAGGCAAACAAAATCATGTTAGTCTCCAAGGGTTAAAATCATTAGTGACTCTTTTATGCCTAAGGCCCTAAAACTATTGGAATGCTCTAAAGGATCTATATCCTAACAGCTTTTTAGGTTCTCTCTGTAGAGATATAGAATAGTATAACCCAATCTGAAAATAAGAGGAACTCAAGTTACTGTACAATTTGTTTTGCTACCCTAGTTCTCTTTTCCTCTTTCCTAAACATGTCTCTGGAGCCTTCTTCCAATAGCTCCTTGGTAACAGCAGCACCCCTTTCAATAAACTACAGGTGCTATCTTTCTGAAAAACACAGTCCCTTTCTTCTAAGAACTTTAATGACAACTTAGAAGTAAATGTAAGTGAACAGACAGAGCCTTTCAAAAAATAAAACTTGATTATACTGAGCTTTTAAGGAAATGGTTATAAATTAATGATCCTTATACCTAATATATATATATATATATATATATATATATATATATATATATAATAAAGACCCAATCCTTAGGTAGTGTCTACATTTTTTACAAAGATTTGTATTGCAACAGTAATGCAGTAAGGATATAAGTATGGTGAGAATATTGCCAACCCTATTTTATGGATAAGAAAACCGAGGCTCCCGTTAATGACAACTTGCTAACACTCACATGACTAGTAAGTGGGAGGTCCTCAAATAGAGAATGGATTTTTGGACTGATAAGTGCAGCTCCACCACTGCTCAGTGCTCCATAGCTGCCACTCATTACCACTTGAGGTATATTTCAGAGTTTTTGAAGTTATGACTCACTACCTTGTTTTATCTCTTGTTTCATTCCTTGAGACAACATTTAGGCAACTAGATTTAATTGGAAAATAGCAAAGGAAATTACCAAAAAGGAGGGCTTAAGTTTTTCGGGAGAAGCAAAGTCAGATACAACTGTTAAATTTTGCATATAATGCAAATAGTTTCAGGTGCATGTGGATCATTGTATAGTTGGATAAAAGCACCTGTGCTTATTGAAGCAATTGCCTTACATCCTCTGCCTCTAGGCTGTGATTGTTTACCTGCACATAAACAAATACATCATGCAAATAGGTAGGATGGTGGGGGGGAAGTATGATAAATAATCTGAACATTTACATCGTGAGGAAATAAAATCTCTTATATTGGCTTCTAAAACACAACTGATCTCAAGACCAATAAAGAGTACTAATTGTAATAAATGTTTAAAAATACATGTCATAGGGGCGCCTGGGTGGCTCTGTGGGTTGGGCCTCTGCTTTCTGCTCAGGTCGTGATCACAGGGTCCTGGGATCGAGCCCCGCGTCGGGCTCTCTGCTCGGCGGGAAGCCTGCTTCCCCTCCTCTCTCTCTCTCTCTGCCTGCCTCTCTGCCTACTTGTGATCTCTCTCTCTGTCGAATAAATAAATAAAATATTAAAAAAAAATACATGTCATAAAAGACTAAAAGAATTGCAGCTCTTTCACCTGTCAGGTAAGAGAATACAGCCATATCGAGTGTGGAAAACCTCAGTTGTCTGAGATAAATCTTTGTGTACATAGCAATTTTCCTCAAGAGAGTAAAGTTAAAAATAGCCAAATTTTGAGCATTTATATCATTACCTCTAAACTCACATAGATAAGCCCATTTTTATAAAGGCAGAGAGTAATTGCTAGTAGAGAACTCTTGAAGAACAAGAACTCTGGCTTAGTTTTCTTTATATATTTCAGCCTCCCCGCAACAGAAAATAGGCACCTAGATATAGTAAAC